AAACAACCGTTAAAAGAACCGCATCCTGGCCGTGCGTCTAGACAGGCGATTTTTTCCGAGAATTTGAGAGCGTTGTGATGCAGGTTGTACAGGCTGACGTTTCAAATTTCAGATGTTCACTGTAACAGTCGTCATCTTTGCGTTGAGTAACGTACTTATGTGGTGGGCGTACACGAACATCACTGCTCACTGGCTGAGTCGTCTATACAGTGTTTAGCCATCAACACTGGAACAAATTTTGCTTTGACGGTAAGTTTCAACAGCATTCTCTTTCAGTTCAGGGGTCAGTGGCAGCGGCTGCAGGCAACACGTTGCACTTGCGCATTTCACAGCTCAGATCAACCCTAATTTAAAACAGGATATTTTTCGTAGTTAGCTAGTCCAGCAGAATATTGCGTCCATCGCTTTTCAGGTTTTTATCCCGACTCCTGAACGCGTGCCCCTCTACACACTGCCGGAAAAGTTACTCATTCTCCCTGCGCTAACAAGCGCTTCCTGGCCTCTTTCCACAACAGAGTGTCCTATATCTAAGACAACACCTCGCCTGCATATTGTGGACAGTTGCGTTCAGATGCGATGCTACAGTCGCCAAGTGACTCTCCAGGGAAGGGAAAGGGCAGAAGGAAACACTTCAACCCCAAGTAGAGATCCTTGGCAGCATCTGGACGATTCTCTGGACTTACTCGTTTTATGCTAGCAAAAGGATACCATGCCGCCTCTGGCTCACAAATCGTGTCTTCTCCTTATGCAATGCCACACACCATCTAGCAATGGAAAAAAGAAATATACGGTGTAAAGACTGAAATCGTGACAGAAAATAACCTTGGGTTTCGCTGGGCGGGGCAACTAGGGAGGCGTCAGGACTGCCACTTATGAACGTCGCAGCGCCTTCTCTACTTGCTGTGGAGCCGTGAAAAAGGGACGATCCTACAGACTGCGAGCCAGATTACTTGTACAAGAAGGGCGTCTCCGAATTGGTTAAGTGCGGGCACTGTCTTTAAATCCTTTTATGAAAGAGTAGCATTTCTATCATTAGTGTTTTGAGGACTGTCATGTGTAGTGGCTAAACAAATTTTCCCCCAAAGTAGAAGTCACGGCGCTATTAATCCTTTAGTGCCACAGTCGTCAAAAATCAGGCCAATTTTCTACGGGCTACTTCCCCGAAGGCAGATCTGGCTAAAATTCTGAGTCTAGAGGTAGTTCGACCATCTGGACACGAACACCATTTCTAAGATCTACGATCTCATGACAAGATTTCTGAATCACTAGAGAAAGACGTGACGATTAAAAAAAAGACGGTTAAAAAAATTAGTTACACACTTTTGGACATCCTAATATCCGTGACTCTTACGCAGGGCACGGCATCGCATGGTGATAAAATCCTGAAAAATACGACCACTCGCTCCCCCCCCTCCCCATTCTACCTACCACTTTCCTAGATTTTCCCAACTTCCTACCAGTTTTTCCGGCATTTCCCGGAAAATTTCCAGTTTTTCCCCAAAATTTTGCTGTCGAGCAGGGGGGGGAATATATAACACCAGTGAAACGGTAAAACCGTGGAGAGTCAACAACCGGAGAATTTTCATCCCAACGCCGCTAATCTGCAAATTCCTCTCGAAGACAAATACGACCCCCTCTCTCCCAACAACGACCAAATACGACCCCCTCTCCTAATAGCGCCCGTGGAACAAAAGAAATCACCCATTAAAATTTTTTTTCTCTGACCAAATACGACCCCCCTCCGTTCTGATTATCACAACGATGGATGCCCTGCTCTTACGGTCTCCTGTTAGACGCAATAGTAAGATGTTACGTAACCTATTAGTAGCCGAAATAGTATTTCTTTGGGAAGAAAGCGGATTACGTAGGAATTTGCAGGAAACTGGTGCACAGCGAGAGGAAATTGGAGGTAAATGGGGTTGAGAGGTACGATGACATTCCTACAGGACGAGAATACGACTGGCCGAGTTGTGTGTGCGTGCGGCGATCGCACAAAAAACCTCCTCAAACTAGGACATGGAATAGGGCGGCACTGAGCGGAAAATAACGTCGGAACTGTTTGAAGAGAAGGGGAACTTGAACTTGCTGGGGTATTTGACGAAGGGCCCCTTATGTAGCTGAGTTTTTCTGAGAAGAGTGGGTCTTACAAAATTCCTCATCTAATTTGTTGGGTTCTTGAGCTGTGACCTATTTCGGTAAATCAAATTGCAAGACAAGAAAAATGCAGTTTTCCCACGAATCTGACCCATAGATAGGAGTAGTGCGGGCACGTTTCTCCCCCACTCATTAGTTTTTATCTATCTGGGATGCGCTACGCATTTCACTTCCAGTCAGAATCACAACAGTGCTATGCAGAACCCTGCGCCATAATGCCATTTCATGGAGACCTATTGGTTGGGGCCCATATAATATCTTGTCCGAATCACCCCTGCAGGGCAAGTATAGTACGGGCCCGAAAGTTGAAAGGTTTCATCTAAGGGCGTGGCAAAATGTGAAGAGTTGCGAGTCTGTTCCTTCCAGTTGTACATCGGAAAATGAAAAATATTACGACTGCTTTGCTTTCTACCTCCTCGATATTTGATGAAACCTT